CGATAAAACTTGTTATCGTCGATACACGGTGTGTCTTGTGATTTCTCTTTTCCTAGTGACGTGTTCGCTAAAATATACGGAAATTCAATCGAACTGCGACTTCCTGCCAAAACTATCTTCGTTCTGTCTTTTCGGTGAGCTAAATATGCTGAATGGATATAGAACGCGACGCGCACTGCGTATTGTTCCAAATTTGCAACGAAACAACTGGTCTGACTAGCCAACTCTATGTTATAAAACTTTCACGATTCCCTTCGAATCATCGAAACAATCATTCTGCAAGAGAAATCTTGTTATTTGCCCCGATATATTTTCACCGAGTCGCAAAAACGGAAGTGAAACTTCCGGTGTGCGTCGCGGTTTGACCGCGGAAACTTATCCGTTTCGAAGGTATTCGATACTGCATTTGAGAGATAGGAATCTTACGAACACTGGTAGCAATCAATGGTTTTCCCAAGTTAAAATTGTCTCGTTGAATAAAGATGGATCAACGTCTCGCGTATAAATCATACAGAAAGAGAGCGATGATCGCGATCGATCTTGAAATAACAAATGAATCGCGAGACTCACCGGAAAAGAAGAGCGCGAGCAGGAACAGAGAACGCAGCTTCGATTTCATGTCGATCGCTCAGACCGAAACGTTCCGTTTCTCGTTCTTCGTACGAGAGCTCGCACTTTCCAACTGACACCTCCTTCCAGAACCGTGCCTTATATGATGAGTATTCGCTTTGCCCGTTCATCTTCCGCCTCGCTTATTTTCACTAAGTGTAGATCGGGAAATGTAGAACAACGGTTGCGTACGGACTGTACAACTCGCAAATTCTTTGCGATTCAATTATCAAACAATTTATATGTAACATAGTGTGTCTAGTTCTATTTCCAACATAATGCATGCAACCGTAAAAGCGAGACCATGGACGCAACGGTCGAAAATTAGAGAAAGCACGAGCAACGATTTTCAACATTTCACATCTAAACGCAGAGAGAAACAGATTTTCTTTGGCGAGCCAAACGAACGATGATGCAATGCTACAATAAATGTATTGTTTTACAATAGACATGTACACATCTCTGTTTAGCTGATCTGTTTTGACGAGCATTGGGATTTCAGAAGGTCGGAGCGTGAAAACACACGTGCTAAGCGACTTTGTCGACGTGGTCAATCTGTTCCAGATGACGGTTCTGCTTGCGTACAATTCGGAGATATATTTAAAAGATCTCCCTCTCGCTCCTAATCGCTACTTTGTACTGTAATAGCTGTTCCGTTAGCCTTGAATATCGTAACTCCGCTTAGTTTGTATAAATCAATGTCATGATCAATGTGCATCAACTCGTTAACTTTATCGTTTTAGAAATGGACCATTTATCTCTGTATTTCGTTTCTCTTCCTAAAAAATAAAAGGTTCCTCACATTACCATCGAACTGTCTATGTGTAAACTGGAGCATAAATAACACGAATGACGTTCGTCAGATCTGATGTTGACAGGCAGTCCTAATTAACTGTCATCAAAGAACGATATAACTCATGATTTACCAGAGACTTTTGTGATATTTGTGTAATTGTTGCATTGTGTAAGGTAATAATCGTTTTCGGTAGAAAAAATCAAATCATTATTATCTTACAAACTTATACGATGCAATCATTTCTTCTAGATGGATTGCATTTTGATCATTTATGTAATATGTACATAGATTTTGAATTAATTACGATATTTTCTTATGCTACAGCTTTCATCTGATTAGCTTCAACGATGTAAAAACAGACGAAACCTAAAGAAATATCATATAATATTATCAATCGATGAAATTGTCTCGACTAAACGAAGAAAAAGAAGGGAGATAAGCACGAACAAGAGATGGCGACCGATGAAAGCTGGCGAAAGCGATTTACTTTCAGGCAAGTTCGGTGACTGTGTCATGGTGACACCGGCACCGGCACCACCTGAGCCCCTTCCCTGTGTCGTCCTTCTCTAAGGAGGGGTACTCTAAACTTAGCTACAACTCGAGGAAACTCGACTCGAATTCAGTGCAAAACCACCATCCTCTCGAATCAGTTTCTTCATAGCCATCTCGCGGTTACCCCTTGTGTCTTCCCTCGCATTCGGACGACAGCAAGATAACCTTGCGTTCTAATTGCCTTTATACATCCGATCGATTCGTTACCGATAAAAATATTGGGAGGAAGAAAGTAACGCGCGATCAAAAAGGAAAAAAGGTGGCGAAAAAAGAGAAATAAGATCGCTACTGACAGAAAGACTCATCGGATAATGGCTTACAGCTGGAACAATCGAGTAGATTTCATTGTAAGATTTCTTTACGGTTAGTACGTGGTTATTTTCGATAGAGTGTGCATGATCGTACCTTGGCTATTGCACAAATAATGTTATTATTGTCTTTAAGTTGAGAGCATGTTTATCAGAGTGCTGTTATTGTCCAATTATCAATAAAAATATTAATGTGTGATTTCTGTGAAACTGATAGATCCTTGTGGGACTTCCTCCTTTCAGCATCATCACAGGAAAAGTACATAAAATATGTATCGACCATTGGTCCCTGTTCGAAGTGAACTTGTACGTACTAACAGGTTTCTATGTACGGAATATAAAACAAGGAGTTTTGTACTTGAGTTCTAAAAAAACGAAACAGAACGAACAAATAATTCTGTTGGCTTCGAGACTGTCATGCATGTTTAGGATGTAGGTTGACTTTAAAGTATACCATGCCGCCTTCGTAACGCCTGCAATTGGTTGATGCCAAATTTAAGCTTAGCTCTAATTTGTTTTATGGAACAATCTGCCTGATCTGTTTTTCAACATTTTGCTTAATAAGTGTCCTGATTGTATGCAAACATTGTATCATTAACACCCTATGACGTTGTAACAATCACAAACTTAATATCGTATTACGTGATAATGAACCAACCTATTTACAAAAAATGATGCGTTCTTCATTGATCTTGATCGATCCGAATCATAATTCGGAGTTTAACAGACATGGATATTTGATAATTTGACTCGTAAGAAGTCGTAATAATCGATGTATAAGAAAAGTCGATAACACAAAGTCGTAATATCGATACGCGAATAAAATCGATAATTGATTCGATCGAGCGATCGATGAAATTTCATAACGATTATCTTTTGAATGTAAAATACGAATTAGATCGAACGATGCATCTGGGGGTCGTGCACTTGGTGATGAATGTCGACCTCTGCCAAAAAGTGAAATATTTGGAGCGCATCCAGCTATACAATAACAAGATTTCCTTAAAAATAAATTGGCACCATCCAATTGATTAATTGGCTGCTATACACGCATTGACTTTTATATTTTGCGCGAATATAAACTCGACTAACAATCGGTAATTTTCACAATGTTCACCATATTCAGACACAGATAACAATGGCATATTGGAGAAACACGATTTCGAATGCATGGCTCTTAAGATGACTTTGATCGAGGGAAAAGGAGAATTCAGTTACGGTCGTTATCAGGAAAATCTGCACATTATGCTTTCTTTATGGGAAGAAATTGCAGAGCTCGCCGACTTCAATAAAGTAAGATCAACAAAATGCCAGATTGCTTCTACCAATATTTCATTTGCATTTTTTTATTCAGGATGGTATTGTAACTATCGAGGAGTTCAAAGAAGCAGTACAAAGAAGTTGCGTCGGACGAAAGTATCAAGATTTCCCACAAGCGATGAAAATGTTTATCGACAGTCATTTTAAAATAGTAGATTTAAATGGTGTGTACATACATAAATCGATTCGTCGTTCATCCAGTTTGTTTGCCGTGTATCATTAATACATTATTTTTTCGTTTTTAGACGACGGTGTAATCGCTGCCGATGAATTTCGCTATAATTGCGTAACAAGGATTCCTGTAGACAACGTAAATATTTTGGACGAAGCGTACCAAAATCTTCTTAATGTAAGATCATGTTACAAATCACTTTGAGGGGTAACGATTTAAAGATCACCTAATCTTATCTGCTATGTAACCTTTCTGTTGTAATGCATCTATACATAGAACTGCTTTTGATACATTCAATCTGATAAATCTGATCTGAAATTTATTAGTTTGGGGAACATAAGATTATCTTTTAGGAATAGTTTTAGAAAATCTGTAAGTAAAATGTATTTCGGTAGTATCGTAGATGAGAAAAGAATTAATAAAGTCACGGATACAATTGAATTAATTTTAAATTTAACATAAAGAACAATAGCTTGACAATTTGCCAAGTTTGATGGTTGTAATTTATTTCCGGTAGTCAACGGAAGCATGTACCAATCATTAAAGGTCTTTGTAGAACAAACTATTATACAATTTCGATTTGATTATACTCTTAACATAAATTAACATTCGTGTAATCTTACAATATTTTATGCTTCCATAAACATAGGAATATAAATGCTACATAGTTCGAAGAACTTCTTCGTTTCTTATCTTGTTCAATAGTATATTCATTCGCAGGATGATGACCGAAGGCGCGGAGGACTAACTTTATCGCGTTATCAAGAATTGTACGCGCAATTCCTTGGCAACCCGGACGAAAATTGTCCAGCAGTTCATCTGTTTGGTCCTCTGCATGCGATGGATTAACTAAATACATATATTTCGGAATGAATGACGATTCTCACGTTGCACGTACAAAAGACAATCCTGTTGTATTTAATTATTATTATTAATTTATGTAAGATGTATGATACACAATAAATCCACTATTTTATTGTAAAATCTTTCTGGTCTATAAGAAATACTTGCCAACACTGTTCTTCCACGATTGTTAAATCTGTTCTATATAAAGAATACACAAGACACTTGTATTGTACAAACAGAAAAATTTTTATTCATATTACGTGTTAACACAGTATCGTCGTGTTGATCGGACATCTCTTTGGTAGTATCGCCATGCTTTGCTCGTCACAAAAATTTAATACTGAAGATTTTGCAATGATATGTTTATGACATTTTGACATATGAATGAACCCAAGTATAATTTTACGTACTTGTTGCCAAATTATGGCACCTTTTATTTAACAGTCATAGTACTTCTTTTTTGTTAACCATGTATATATGTAGGACATGCCTTTAACCGCTTGAATACTAATTTGATGTGTAAGGAATACTCAACCGGATTTACAAACATAGATTTATATGAAAGAATATCATTTTACCTGTGTATATACATAGCATAATATCGTAACAATCGCCAACGAATCATCTATTATTTAACTAACGAGATTTTTTGCAACATTGCATTACGTATTCTTTTGTTGTCAGTATAAAAATTGTTATTCGTATACAAATAATTTAGAAAACATGTTCGAGTTCAACTCGCAACAGGAAATATCCACATTTACAAAGGACATTGATATCGTTTCGATGCAATCAAGCTATCCGAACATTTTTCTATGTTCAACTTCTCATATGAAAAAACAATACTGCTTAAATTTGTTACAGATATTGAGCAGAAACATACAACTCTTAGGAGACACTTTACACCGATGAAGCACGCAAAAGAAATTAAGCACTAATACGACTATATCATTTAACTTCTAGTAATAAGGCTAACTACCTGTTTTTTTCATTTATCGAATGTCTTAATTACCTAGAATTAATTAGGCAAATTGTAAGAACGAAACCTACTAAAACCAAGTGACTACTGCATAGTAAAAAATAATAATTTGTCATTGCCTTTTCCTTTCAGTACTTAGATATTTGCTGTGACTTGTTTAATATTACCCATATTCAATAAGATTGCAGACAAAACAAAATCAAATAAAAAACTTTGCCTAAAATATCTATCGGTTATAAAAAAAAAAATAAAGGGAATACGAAATAGTTTCCTGATGCTTGGTTTGAACTAAAAACATATTTCTGGAAACTGTTACTAATATCAACCATATATAAGAAACAACGAGTACTATCGCTTATACATATATCATGGAAAGAAAATCAGGGTAAAATGTACTCCGATATGGATGCCGCACAAATTTTAAGCTGTTAACCTAAATTCTACTTACGTTGAGAATTACGGCTTACATATATGTATATATAATTCTCTAAAGATTTATACAATACGAAATTCAAATTTGTACATATTCGATATTTCACCTCAATTATGGACGGTTAATATTTTTAGATGAAATTTCGAGTCATATTATGCAAAGTATTCGAAAAGACATTAAAAGGAATACGCTGTTTTCTTAAACCTTTCGATATGATATACAAATCTTACCGTCGAATTGGTTTATTCGAAACCTGCATTATACGACACCTATATCGGAAACCAATATTACCTCGCAATGACAAAATGCACAAATAGAGATAAAGCATGATAAAAATGCAGGTACATTTACCATTTGCCAAGCAACACAGATTTACGCATTTCCACTGAAAAAATACCGGAAAACATAAAATTAATATTAATTAAAATCATATTACAATATTTCTTGACACTTCCAATTGATTTGATCAATTGCACCATTTCAGATATTATACCCATAAATCTTAAAGCTTTAGAAATAGAATGATGTAAAATTATGAGACGTTCTTTTATAATTAAATATCTTAAATATAACGCAATCTTATTATGTTAATAGTAACAACAAGATACGAAATTTTTCTTCCTAGTTATGAAATATACCAGACGTGAACTTCATAGTTCGCATCGATTACAAGATTCTCGATCACCATTCAGACGCAAATCTACTGAACTTTAAAAAAGGAAAAAATTGTTGATCATACATATATAGTAAAAATAATTTTGTATTATACAAACAGATTATGTTCAGTCTCTCTAAGTATAAAAGTCGTTTTATGAGTTAATTCGGATAATGATTAATGCTAAAAAGTCACTTGATGTAACTGCTCTATGGAGTTCACACTGGCGTAGGAAGTGGTTGGGTACTGATTGTTGTCATTTTGGAGTAAAGGAGAGTCAGGCCCACACACTTGACTCCTAGATTCGTTTCTAGCCCTGCTGGCACATTCATGGGCTTTTCTACGCCCTCGGCGCGACATCACGCCTGCAAATAATAATAAAAAATAGACATAACTTGAGTCTTTACTTCGATATCCATTATATATCGTAGCTGACTAAAAGCATGTTAAACAAATAAATTATAATACAAATAATATTTAATAGAAAAAGAGAACAAAAATAATGATATGTTTGAAAAGGAGGAAGACATGAGATCTATTCACCAGTGGCAATACATCTTTCCATCTTTCCATATCCCTCTTTTAACTTAACGTTGCAAAATAACTTAACACGATCAAAAAGCTAACAACTATTTCCATCACCAATTATATTTATGTAATTAAATCAGATTACCAATAGCATTTGTGATATGTACTTGATTTTATAATACACGCAATGGCAATTATACCACAAGAGCATTTATGAAACGCATGAAATAGAAAAGAGGAGTTTTGCAACTAATTTATAGTTATTGAAACAATGAAAGGAAAATTACGTTAACAAAGCAGTATACTTTCGTAGAAATCGATAGGTATATATATCCCATCCCACACTCATCGACATACACAGATTGCGTCGTAATAAAGAAATCTCAGAAAGAAGTTTATAGTATTTGCACTTTCGAGTATCTGTTAAGTAAGTGCACCAAATACCATTCGATATGTCAGAAATATTTACAATACTAGTTTGACGTAACCATAACTAAATACTGTTTTTATAAAAACAGATGTAGACTAATTTTGAAATAAAGCCGGGTGTTGCATAAAGCTGTGTTGAATATCAAGTCGAACAAAGATAGAAATATTGTAATGATACAGAAAGGAAGTGTAAATATATGTGTATCCTGCGTACCTATCTTTCATATTCAAGCACTCTGAACGTAGGTGTGCTTGTGGTGGGTGTGGGAGGAGAATTGAGTTTGCTTACGCGATGATTCAAGGAAGTCTCCTGTACGTTGTCCAGATTTCCTTGCATTGCTCTCTTGTGATTTGCTAACTTTTCTCTGTTCATTGGTGTGCCTAGAACCACCAGAAGCCATGACCAAAGCTCTCTTAAGTTGTTACTGTACTTTTTTTTTAGTTCTTTCGAATAGAAATTACTAGAAGGTCGCCAATACTTAAAGACAAATGTCTAAGTTGGCATGCGAACAAAAACAAGTATGTACAAATGTTAATAGTGAAGCAAAAAGATGTAAGGGACCATATACTTTGTCTGCAGAGCACAACCTTCTTGTATGTCGATTGTACTTCCTAATGTCTAGGGATATGAAAATTAAACTTATTTTTTACTATGTTAAGTGGCACTGGTGTTTTAAGGAATTTCATTTGATTTATATGGAAATTTGATTTTAATGCGAGAATATGGTAATAAAACCATAACTAATAAATGAATCTTACCAATGTAACTTAATAATACTGGCAGGAATATTAGACCATGTGCAGCCCCAAACAACACAATACCCAGGTACATTCTGAAGTAGAATACCTGAAGATTTTTTCAACAATAACTTTGGTTTTATTATAAAACAGGAATAATATATATAAGGACAACGGATATAAACGTAATTATCAAGACCTACCTTAAAGATTTGACTTCTAGCAAAACCGAGTACTATAATTCCACCAAACTTTGTAAGAGTGATACCGCTAAAAATTGAACTTCCCATATTCGTCAATGCATCAGCAACCCTTTCAACACGTGTTGTTTTTACTGATACTGAGAAGGAGTGTACCAAATGACTGCAAAATTCAACGGCAATTCCAACAGCCTGCAGAAGTACATTGTTTACTTTCCTAATGACATTCTATGTTTAAAATCTGAAACTCGATATGCTTACCATAACAAGATTAACGAGGGATACTGCATTTAATGTTATGTGCCACCAATACATTAAACCACCAATATTAACGACAATCATCATAATGGTAATTACAACAATAACAGAGGAAAATATGTCCAAACCCATCAAAAGGAAAGTTACCACGAAGATAGCAATTAAGGATATCCCTATACTATATAACGTGTCCGGCCACATTGTTAAGTACTGCTCGTAAAAAACATAAAATATGCTGTACGGAAACACCTCAACAGTTGAACTGTCACCGATACTTTTTAAATAGTTATTAATCGTCTCTGTTATATTTGCTGATATAGCTCTTGCAGCTCTCATCGATTCGTAATAATCGGCGGATGTTTTTAATATAGTATGGTAAGTCATAAAATAGGACGCCCCGACTTTCGACAGGCCTGTTTCAAGCTCAGTAACATAGTTAACACCATGACCATAAGCAGCATGACCTGCTTTAGCGCACATTTCATCAGGATTATCTTGCAAGAAAAATGATACATATCGTTCAAAGTCTGTTGGTATAGGTCTTCCAATATTATTTGTGGTGATATTACACGAAGAGCAATATTTACTAGATCCTGAAAATATAAAATATATATTTTCGTTTTCTTTCCAATATTGTGATATATTACAAGAAAATTCAATTGTATACCTGTATGCGGACAGAAAGAATCATTTGAAACAAAATATTTGCAACACATCGACAATTGAGACCAGTCGATATAATCATCTAGCCATGATGATGCAGGTTTTGCTATGTATGTCCTAAATAAGCAGTTATATTAATAAGTCTGTTTTATGATTCGATACAATATAATTTATATAATAAATGTAACAATTACCTATTTGATTGTTTTGATGCTATAAATATTTGAGTCGATACCGAATCGTTATTACAATATTGACCGCCACATACAAGATTCTGTATATCTTTGTTAGAATAATTTAATCCTTCTTTTACAACAAAGTACATTGGTGGTCCAATAGATAAGTAACTATTTAAAAACTTGAAAAGGAAAGAAAAAAATGTTATAACCATTTCTTAAGTATCTGTGTTTTTCATTGGTATAAATATTATATTACTTACTTTGAAATATTTCAAGACAAAACTATCTTCAGGCATAGAAAGTTCTTGATCTAGACCAATTTCAATGTGCGGAACAACCGCAATGCTTGAACAAATCCATCCAAAAAATACTATCATAACAAATGCACGCACCCATTTTTTCAACAATAGTGGAACATACACAACTTTGAAAAGTTTATACAAAATTCCGTTTACTACTTCCTCCCCGTCGTCTTTCTTCGATCCACGAATAAAACAACATACATCAAGTTTATTGTTCTAAAAAATATATAAAAATATCAATTATACTAAACTTTTGTTATAGGATATGTACTGTTCAATTTTATTAATACATACTGCTTGACGAACAGTATCTAGTGCTAATAAACTAACAAAACAGGTTACTTGTAGCACAAAATCTACCAATAATGCCATACCGGCATATAGAGCAAAAGCTTTAACGGCAGGCATATCAGATAATCCACCTAAAGAAACATAATATTCTCAGCATATTATACTCGACGTTCCTTAATTCATACTTAATACGTGTGAATCTTTTCAATATTTACCAAGGAAGAAACAACAACTTTCTGACACACTGGTAAGTAACATGCTTGGTCCCACTTGACCGAGAATACGACCGATATGTTCAGGTATTGATTCATTAGGACGACGGCTTTCCCTTTGATGTGTTTGGACAAGTATGAAAATATTGTCTACTCCAACAGCCAGAACAAGGAATGGTATGACTTCAATAATAATGAGCGTAGCCGGAATGCCAACAAAACCAAATAAACCAACAGAACAAACAACAGAGGCCAATACCAAAAGTACACCACCAAGGCCAAGAGTAATTTTAGAATCGATCTAAAGATAAAGAAGTAAATGTTAGATATATGTCGATAAAATAAATATGTGATACCATATCTGATTTTGAACTATTTTCTTTTGTTATTTTTACCAAAAGTCGACTGCAATTTTTTATCTGCCCAAGAGAAATCGCAATATATGCAAACATAATAATATATGAGACAAGAATAGTTAAAACATCTGATTGAGATTCACGATTCAACTCATCCTCTATTGAACGTTCTGAGGTAAAAGCAATATCCATAAATGCTGGTTTCTTTGTCGCTATCCAATTTTTCATAAATTTGACGTAACTGAAATTACAATATCACTTACTTAAATAATGAAGAACAAACTCTTAAATACTCTTTTTCACTCTATGTGATTTAGTCACCTCATTTCCCATTCCATTGCTGGATGTAACTTGGATTTATTATGATAATTATTTACTAGTATAGATAAAATTACTGCTGTGGCTTTCTCATATGAAGGATTCTGGAGATCTTGACCTGGTAATAAAAATCCCCCAACTGCAATTGCTGGTTCCACAGGACCACCATAAGGTGCCAGACATTCAGGATTATATGAATTTCTGAATATAAAATATAATAAAAAATTGTTAGCAAAGAGATATATATCTTAATACTAGTATGATGCTCTATAATCAAATTAGCTTACTGCGAACAAACTCTGAAGTGATCTAAATAATTTACTGTAAAATTATCATCATCTACAGTAGTGTAATCAAAAGCTTCTACACTGTCTTGCCAATATCCCCAAATACTTTGAATGACACATTGTGATACTGTTGGCGGTCCCGTAAACGGACTGGTTAATGGAGCAAAACATATGTTTGCTAAAGTAAAATTATTTGGAGTTGTTATCTTCTTTATTTCTTCTTGTAATTTGTAAACAGTTTTGAGGAAGGTATCATTAAATACAGGACCAAAGATAACTGGACCATTAGATGTATTATGTACAATCTAAAAATAATTGATATAGCTGTACGTCTTCTATATATTGCTAAAAAATAATTTTATTCTACCAATGATCAAAACTTACGTTCGGCAAACCAATTGATGTTATAATTATTTGTTCAGTTCTATAGAATGGTTCAAAACGTTGATCGAAATATTCTTTTTCAATTCGTGATCGAGATTGTGGAGCAGCCCATAATTCAACTGGATCAGTGGTAACATGTATATATTTTATTCCATGTCCCAAACTAATGATAAATAAGAAACCAACGAAAAGGACAAACCACGGTCGTGACGCGCATGCTAAAGAAAGAAATTGAATACTTCTGACCGTTATTGAAATATAATACTTTTGTAACATTATGTAATGAAATGATCACATACCTGTACCCCACCAACAAAAGAATTCTGCTAACAGTTTGTCGGTGCCTGCACCTAATTTTTCAATGAATGTTGATTGTTCTTCATCGTCGAATCCGCTCGGCAAATCATCTGCAGATATCACACCTATAAAAGTTTTTGTGTTACGGAAAAGAGCATATTGTAATGTATATGTCCAGAAAGTGCTGCAGTAAGTGAAATAAATTGTAAATAGTGTGCTGTAAACAGATACATTAAGCAAACTATTCATTCAGTTGTACAGAATAAAAATGTTGTAACAAAAATGTTGAAATAACATATAAATTTTGTACCAAAACAATATAAAGTAGAAATAATTAATATAAAAATAGAAAAGAACAAACAACAATAATTGGTTCAATTCAGCAACTTAAAATTTTAGATATCAAATATATTGCAGGCAACCATAATGTTTTGAATATTTCTATTAAAGAATGTAGAACATTAAAAGTGTAAAATATAAAATTAAATAAATGCAAAAATATAAAAACATTTTAAATTTAACTTATTCCGTATGTTAATAAAATGAATATTAATTATGGAAGTATAAAAGTTCCTAGTAAATACCATATATGCTTTGAATCGAAATGTTATGCAATGTTTACAACAGTGATATAACAAGTATTTAATAAACTGATTTACTTATTCTGTTCACTAATTTTAGAATATGTTCCCACAACATACTGCATACATTTTGAGAAACATTAATATGGAGAAATTTGGAAATACTTTAATGATGACAATACACAGTAACAATACATAAGTAAGAAATAAAGGGAAAGTTCTTTACTCAGGAAAATGACGAAGCACAAATGACGAGGATGATAACCAAGCATAATACCATAACAACAGAACGATATACAGTAATGAAAAAGAAATTAAGAATCAAGCACAAGTCCACATATTGAAGATACACTTGATAGGAACGTACTGGAACGTTTAGATTGAAGTGGGCTGTCTTCTTGGTCTGCGGCAAGAGCAATACGAGCACCATCTCCTGGGTGGTGTAACCCTGCGGCTAGGCGTCTACCCACCTGCCTTCCTACTTCCTCACCTCGTGCAACTATACATATACGCACACCATACATACAACTGATGATTCTAAATCAAATCTTTTCAATTTCATACAATTATCTTATTTATTCATGATACCATATTTGTCATGAGAAATTAATAATAAAAATAGTTGATATTTTTATATCTACTGTTCATTGTAATATAAGCATCTGTTAATGAAATAATGACTGTCAAAATGTTTTGATGTTATTTTTAATATTGTTTCAATTGTCATATATATATGCTCCTCCACAATTATAAATTATTAATCAAGGGAAAAAATAAAAAACAAATGTTTATGAAACCAAGCATAGTGCAAAATTTATAAAATAAATTCTTAAACCACAACCAAAGAATAAGATAATACAGAAGAAACACAGCAATAAAAATAATCCTGTATTAAGGAAGAAAGGTCAATGATATGGATTAAATATTAAGATAATTTGAACTGAAGTGTACTTGTTCTCTTTAAAACAATGTAAGTGACAGTTACATACAAAATTAGTCACTAATGCAAGGTAAAAACAGTACTGTGTAAACTATTATTGAATAAAATATAGTACAGAGTTTGAGGGATAAAAGATGCATTTCACACTGCAATTTCCATAATACAATAAATTTACCAATTTCCTTCACAAATATGAAAAGAATGAGGTGTTTTTTTCTGAATAAATATCTTTAAACAATAAATGAAGTTCCTTACCAATTTGTTTTCTATTATTGAAGCATACAATGGATAAGATGAAAAGAGCTGAACCACACACAAAAGTAATGATCATCATTACAGCATAGCCATCATAGCCAAAAATGGTGAAAGGTGTTGGTAAGGGAGGTGGTGATGGTGGTACTGGGCAACTGGCTTCGCAGTCTACACAACTGCATGCTGGAGTATTTTTCTACACATATAGGACATATTCAATAAATTTCATTAATTCAGAGAAAAGGTCAAATTAGAAATTCTTTAAAAAATGTTCATGTTTGTAGCTTGATTTATACTAACTCCATAATTTAATTAATATGTATATGTATAGTATACATCATATATCATATAGATATAATATGAAAACCAATTAAGCTCAATTTATTTATAGCTAATTAACTCTTACAAATACTTACATTTAATGCTTTATTACAAGGAGTAATTTTAGGGTCTACAGGAATAAATGAACCTACAGGTTCATCAGTATTTTTATATGTAATTTGAAATGGTACATATTGATTGTTTGCTGCATCACCCATATAATGGAACCATTTTAATGTGGTACATCTACTAGCTCCCCATATGCCACACATTAAATCCATTGCTAATTGTCCAGTGCTAGGTACTGATACTTTGTTACAAGAATTAAATGTACCTTCCAAATACTTATTTGTTATATATATATCTATGCCATTGACATATTTTACATCTAAAAAAAAATTATATATTATTATTTAATGCATGTTACAGTGACTTTATATTTACGGAAACATTGCTAAATAATCAAATTACTTTTCTCTGTTTGTATTTCTGTAACGTTGATAAACTTGCTTTGTACTGGGCTACAAGTAAATTCACAGAAATGCTTTACTAAATTATCCAAACAGCTAGGACATCTGTTTAAAAAATTAGATGCCAGCTTAATATTTTGATCCATTGTTTTTAACTGATTTGTATCGCAGCAGGTATTAATCCCATTTCCAGAATCAATCATTAAATGAGGACAATTTTTAGCCAATAGTTTTTGACCTTCATTATCCAATAACTTAGGTGGTCCTGTATAAGGGCAATTCTTTTTGTGCATATATATGTCTGTGTAACATTCTCCATACCAAATACACTGACCATCTTGTGTTGCAGATACCTATTGACAAATATTAAACAACTTTCCTTTTAACAAAATACATTTTAAAATACATTTTAAATATTGCTTCAAAATGTATTTCTAATTTCTTGATGGTTAAAACAAAAATATTAATCAAAAACATATCAATTTAAATTACTTAAATTTTTCAATTCAATCTAATTTTTATTGAATTTAAATTATTCCGTTAACTATACAATATTAACAAGTAATGAATCACTGCCATGAAAGCAATATGAGATCATGCATAAAGACATTGAAATTCTTTCATAGTGCAATCATTTGATAAGAGATAGGACTAACATTAAGTATAAAGTTATTATATGTTATACATTAATCATCCTAATTACATTACATTGTTAAAGAAATAAAGTATCTGTTTATCTACTCTCCTGCATTTACAAATTATTATTTCTTATTTACTTATCATATCTTTTATTGTAACAAATGATAACAAAAATAAACTATTACCTCGTTTCAACTCATGATTCATTTTTCGAGAAATTATTTTTTATCAGAAAATATATTTATACAATTTGAGGTCTTAAATAACTTTTTTCGAAACATACAAATATTTTGTAAAAAATTTATGTAAACAAAAAGTATGACGTTAATCTCGAAAGAAAATTTTGTGAATTCTTTTAAACAGAAACATTAATTTTAATAAGAGCAGTTAAAAAGATCTGCATTGATCTCGTCACGGCAAATAAAGATCAAGTGACATCAGTTAATGTCCCCTTAATGGATAAGGCAAAGGCATAATTAAATTTAATGGACTTCTTTGGACAAATGCAACAGCCGCGGCGACGATATCAACGGTAAATTTTCACGAGGATAGGCCGAGATGACGTCACGAATGCAAGTTGTTTTACGACACCAGGGTGTGGTATAGACGATGAATTATTTGTACGATATTCGTAACGTCGTAATTTTGTGATTAATTAACTTACTGCGTTAATAAGATTCCAAGCACCTAGCACAAAGATTATCACGTTTAGACGTGACATGCTAGCGTCTGTCAAAGTTCGACGGTGGCCTCGGTAAAACACGTAAAACCAATACATAACTCGCTTACGAACACAGTCGATATCGAACGATTACTTTAAACTGTATTTTAACGTCAACACGTAGTTTTGTTACGATTGCTTATTGCCTGTATTATTCATATTGGTACATTTTATGTTGCTGTCGGAAACAGTCTACAAAGATACATAGGCGGCGGACGATCACGTTTCGCTGAACGAACGACGCGACTAGAACTGCGCTCTATCAGTGGCACGCAGCACGCAAAGACGCAGCATGATGGCGACATTGGTAATCACAATCCTAAACGCATCGAATGATCCAGGGCCGTTCGGCTATTCTCGGTGTTGTTCGGCTCGCGCTTCAATTTCTCAGGAATGTTTACTCGAAATACGATACGTATTCTTAAACTGCAAAATCATACGAAATATAGAAAACTAAGCGATTTATTTTTTGATCCCTGAACTTATTGATAGAGAAAGGTCATAACTATAGTCACGAATAAAGATCATAATTAAGTGACCTCTGATTAATAACTACATATAATCGTTAATCTGTAAATGTCAGTTCCTCAAATTCTATATAGTATAAAATGCTTAATACCTGAATGTACGTTATCTAATTTTACTACAAATTATCAGTGATATTCATAATTATTATGTACAAATTAATACAAATTAATTCCGGCTAACAACTAGTTTACGTAAATAAACATTAAAATCGATTGATCTTCACTTTTTTTCTATACAAATATACAAAATTAACAAGTTGAAAAACATTGTAGCACTTGTTATTACCATTATTACTATCTGCTATCATCGTTCGTACTTTAATTAAATTTTATATCAATATACATATGTAATATTATGACACATCTATTTGTTGCGTAATTGTTGTAGAGCTGAAATGAGATATCGGAATTGGTTTCTAGAAGTTTACCATTCCTCATAAATCGATTTATAATACATTACTTGCTCGTATTTCGACGTATTACCACCTAAATCAATTCGAATGTATTCTAGCCTTGGGGCAAAGACTCTTTCAATAGTTACTATGGATTTATTCGTCGCAACAAGATAAAAATCTCGAAACGTAAGAACATTAGAATTTTCGTAGAAACGAGAAATGCTTTCAAGATTCAGTTTACACATTGTTTGTACGTTGTGATCTAGGTCACGGTTAAATAATAAATTAACATGCACAATGCATTCGCAATGTGTTGTGAAAGTTGAAGCCTAAAAATCAAATTTTCATATTAACATGATTGGAATAATATATGATAAATTGATTTTACATTTTGAAAATTGGCAATAATTGGTAAACTAACCACTAAAAATTGAATTAGAACCTATATTGCAATATACTGTGAAAGAACATCTTCGAGATTTTCGAATCCAGAATATGTGCATTTCGTGACAAATAATAGATTATTCCTTAGCCATGTATGTACATATATTCAGGGAAACGTTAATTTGGACAGCAACCGGACGTTCAGCATCATTCTTTGCATCGGTCTTTCGTAATACATAATATCATATCAATTGTGAAAGGTAATATTTAGATTCTTCCTGTTTTTTGTGATTTTAAGAAATTTAATGAGAATTAAATGACGAGTAAAAAACACATATATACGCATGATTCAGTAAATATTTTAATTGCCATTAAATACCTAGGAATGATGGGTTTTGCAAGCGATTAAAAATCTGTTTAATAATTATTACAGAAGACATCCTTCGATTAGTAAGTGTATGAAATGTTTAAAACAGAATACGTAATAATAACAAACTGTACAAAAATAAGATAAGATGATATAAACACGAGTTAGGAGACTAACATTACATATGATCGGTACATTGATTACCATATTTAAAAAAGAGATCGTTTAAATCCGATTGATCGGACATCTAGTAGCTGTGCATAAAATCATCGTAATGGTAGGCATATTGCAAGAGATTCTTGATAAATTGAGCATCAAGGCTAGCTACGTTTTAGGTAGACCGTATTTCTTTCTCACAATTTCTGATCTCTCATCATACGTAACGTAGAAAGTATTTCTGGGATATAACTTGCATCAATGAAACTCTATTCCTTTTCTTTACGCTGTTTACAGCGTTGTTTTGTAAGTATTTTTTTTCATGTGAAAGTTGTTGTCATATATTCCCTTGCTTCATTCTTTGTATACCAGATGGCGCTTCTTTCACGAATATTGGTTCATTTATTTTCAAATAATGGTGACGAAAGCAAAATGTATTAACATTGAATATACGAAATTTTGTATTCGTTTCTTTGGCTTTATTTTTAGCATTCGAAAAGAAATGTCACTGCTGTTGAATTATTAACATTTTCGAGATATGTTTAATCAGCCTCTTTTAGCATGTAATGTACGAAAACGACTAAAATGTCCGCGCTTCGATACCATTGATTATCGTAATATCGCACTAAAAAAATGTTTCTTCTTTACAAAAAAGTCGACGGAAACCCAACAAGGCTTAAATGCGATCAGGCTGGAATATTTGAAACCAGAAGTTGTGCTTAGTGAGAAAAATCGGAAATCTTTTATCGAGAAGTTCAAGGCCAGTAGAGTACCACAGGTAGATGGTAATGCGATTCCTCAGGCCGCTGTTTTAGTGCCATTATGCATGCACAAAGGAGAACTTGGTTTCTTATATACCTTAAGATCAACCAAATTATCTTCGAATCGTGGACAAGTCTCATTTCCTGGTGGAATGCACGACAAAGAGGATCGTAGTCTGGAAGAAACTGCATTACGTGAAACATGGGAAGAACTTAAAATTCCAAGGGAGAAAATCGACGTTTGGGTCTCCGGTAACATGATTGATAAAAAGAACGTCATGGTGTTGCCAGTTTTCGGCTATATCGGTGAAGTTGATCCAGAAAAGCTTCAAATTAATGTAAACGAAGTAGAAGAAGCTTTTTTTCTCAGCTTAAAAAATCTCTGCGATCTTTCAGTGTGTCGGTTTACTCAGTTCCGTGAAAACTACACTTTACCGGTTTATTTAGGAGGGAAACACCGTGTTTGGGGTTTCACCGCAGCAATAACACATGTGGCCTTAAATGCTCTCGTACCCGATGCCTATAAACACAAACTCGTTCGTTCACGGTCAATGTTACTAGAAAAAAGGAGATAAAAATATTTGTTAATCGTGAAATTGTATTGTATATAATTTGTATTTCATTCCTTATTTACATGTATATATATATGCGTGTGTATATATATATATGTCATAATTGATATAAAGAATTAAAAAAAGAGTTATGATTTCTCTTCCCCATTATGTGGAATATGTTTGAAAAATGCATACATATTTGTAGTTTAAGAGGAAGCATTATAAATCATATGTATATAATTACATATACATATTTAGTTCAATACTACATATGTAGATGTCACTGGCCACAGGATGAATCCGTATGTTCTGTTATGAGCGTCATTTATATATAGGTATATCGTCTGATGTCGTATGAAGATGTATGTAAGAATATTATGAGATATTGAGATGCTATGAATATAATAAGCAGAAATGAAATTAGCCTCTAAATAAGGAAACCGTGAAAGCATGGCGGTTGTAGTAGAAACTACTATAGGAGATTTTACTGTTGATTTATATACTGAAGAACGTCCACAAAGTAAGTGTAAAACAAAAATAGAGGTTATGTTTTCTTGTTATTATGTATTGGAATTTTCAGTGAAAGAAATTTGGTTGTTGACAACAGTATTTATTAATATATAATATTTTGCAGCATGTCGAAATTTTTTGAAATTATGCAAATTAAAATATTACAACTGGAACTTATTCCATTCTGTTCAAAGCAATTTTATTGCTCAAACCGGAGATCCCACCAGTACTGGGAAAGGTGGAGAAAGTGTCTATGGAATAGTGTTAGGTGAAAAAGCAAGATATTATGAAGCAGAGCAGATGCCAAAAATAAAGCACGATAGAAGTGGTTTATTGTCTATGGTTAATTGTGGCAGCAACATGCTTGGATCTCAGTTTTTTGTTACTCTTGCACCCGAACTTCAATCATTGGATGGAGAACATTGCGTATTTGGTGAAATTACAGAAGGACTAGAAATTATTCTCAAGTTCAATGAAACTATATGTGACGGGGATCACAGACCTTACCAGGATATACGTATCTCTCACACCGTTATTTTGGAAGACCCTTTCGAAGATCCAAAAGGTTTTATCATACCTGATCGAAGTCCACCACCCTCCAAAGAAGTTTTAATGGTATAATATCTTTTTGCTTCATGTTTTTAAAATTTGCAAGATTTTCTTTGTCATAGTAAATAAATATATTTGTAGAGCGATAGGATTGGAGCTGACGAAGTGATAGATGATACAGCTGGTATGACAGCTGAGGAGATCACGGAAATGCAAAAAGAGAAGGAAGCTAAAGCAAGAGCGACAATATTGGAAATTGTGGGTGATATTCCAGATGCGGAAATGGCTCCACCTGAAAATGTCCTGTTTGTCTGTAAACTAAATCCTGTTACAACCGATGACGATCTCGAAATTATTTTCAGTAGATTTGGAAAAATTATTGGGTATGAATGGTTTAGCAATCTTGCTGATAGACACCTATTACATTTGGTATATTGATCAAATTGTTTTTCTCTTTGCTTTTTTCAGTTGTGAAGTTATTAGAGATCGGCAAACTGGAGATTCATTGCAATATGCGTTCATCGAATTCGCTGATCGTAAAAGTTGCGAAGAAGCGTATTTTAAAATGGACAATGTATTGATCGACGATCGTCGTATACACGTTGATTTTTCGCAATCGGTAGCCAAAATGAGATGGAAAGGCAAGGGTAAAGGCGTACAATATTTTGACGATGAAGCTGATGAGGTTGGAAATGAGAATCTAGAAAAAGTCATTTCGAAGCATAAGCAGAGAGATGAACCTAGGAGCAAAGAAATAGAACACAGAAAATATGAGCGTATAAAGGACGCCAATAAAGCCAAGGTATACTCCTATAACAGGGATAAATATATAGAGAAGGAAAAGTATAAGGTACAAAGACATCGTGATAGTTCGCGCGAAAGATACGAATACGACTCTAGACGGAGGAAAGAAAGCAAAAGAAGAAGTAGAGATAAAAGCAGAGATAGGAGCCGAGACAGAAGCAAAAGGGAAAGTTATAGAGAGCACAAACAAAAAAAGAAATCTGACGGTGAGAAAAAAAGATGGGATAGGGGGAATTCTGGCTCTAGTAACGAGGATTTAAGATATGAGAAACATAAAGACGGACATTCGAGTTATAAAA